GCTCAGGAGTTGGTACCTCACAATCGGACACTACTAATTCATTGTCGATACCTGGGACTACTGTCGTCTGTGTTGAAAGTTATAACAGTGGGATACTTGGACATTTGACGATCAATCAAGGAGATATTCTTGAAGGTAAAGATAATCAGAGGTATTTAATTCTGATAGTTGAGAGATTTTTTTTGTTCTCTTGTCATAATAAAAGCTCACGTTGATCCTCCTTCTTCTTCTTCTTCTTCTTCTTCTTTTTCCCTTTCTTTTCTTTTCATTTTTTTTTTTGCTTCCTTCCCTCTTCTTCTTCTTCTTCTTCTTCTTCTTCTTCTTTTTCTTCTGTATTTTCAACAGTTACCGGTGCTACAGATTGTGGTTTACTCGAAGGAGTATTACGTGGCCAGGGTACAGGATTATTTCCAGCACATTGCGTACAGGAAGTTAGGCTACGTCATACGAATATACCATTGGGTCCGTTACCAATAAGAGACGGAAGAAATAGGGTATTAGGCCGTAGAGAGTCCCAACACAAATATTTCGCTACAGCGCCAAGATTGAAGAAACCGTGAGTATATCGATGTTTTTCGTATTGAAAAAGAAAGGAAAGAAAAGGAAAATCAATTGGATTATAATATTTCAATGGCGATTGATATTTATTTATTTTTTTTTTTTTTTTAGAGTTACTTCAGAGCCACGTACGGTAGTACTACATCGATCCAGAAAAGGTTTTGGTTTTGTTTTACGTGGTGCCAAAGCTACGTCACCGTTAATGGAATTGACACCATCAGCGAGATATCCAGCTTTACAATATCTCGATGATGTTGATCAAGGTGGTGTAGCAGATCTTGCTGGTCTCCGTAAAGGAGACTTTCTTATCCAAGTGAGTCCGTCATACTGAGCTGTGATTGAAAAAAAAAAAGAAAAAAAAAAAAAAAAACAGAAAAAAAGAACATAGGTAGAGAAAAAAAAATATTCTATGAAATTTGTCAGATCAACGAGGAGGACGTGACAACAGCATCTCACGAGCACGTTGTCGATCTGATTAGAAAATCGGGCGAGTTGGTACGAATGACAGTTGTCTCGCCTGTGATCAGCCTTCCAAATTCACAATCGGCAGCCGCATTGCCGACTAGTCAACCAATTCAAAGACAGTATGCAACATTGCCGCGTAAAGGTAACAACAATGTGCCAATTGGTGGTACCTTAGGTAGATCACCAGCACCAATGCCACCGCGTAGAGATCCAAAAACAACGTTGAGCGTTGGCCGTGCCAGAGCTAGATCAATGGTAGCTGGATTAGGTAATACGATAATCAATAACGATTAGAATTGTATTATTAAGGCGCGAAAATATCCAAGTGTTTTTATACTGCTTTCAAGTAGAAGGGGGCGGGGAACGTGATGACAGGGATGAAATCACATCTACGGGAGCTAAATCTAGCAGCGCGGAATCCATTCATTTACCTCAGCAACCATCGACCGGTCCAAATACAGGTCAAAATACACCGGTTCAACCGAGAACAGCTAGTATTAGATCAAGGCCAACATCTAGTAGAATAACAGCCGCTGAACTCGAGGTAAATAAATATTTCTCAATCACATTTGTATCAAAGTATTGATCATTAAATTGTCTTTTCACTTTTAGCCCATTTAATATTTCTTTTTTTCTTTTTCTTTTTCTTTTTTAAGGAATTATTTCAACGACAGCAAGGTAGTACAAGCGGTCAATATAGTTCATCGATGATGAGCTCGCACTTTCAAACTGGTCAATCTACAAAGTCACATCCTTCCTCGCCTGCTAAAACTGGCAGGGTCTATGCTAGCGTAGCTGAAATGAAACGAAAAGGAAAAGTAAGAAATGGTTAATCTTCCTCCCTTTTTTTTTCTCTTGTTTTTTTTTTTTTGTTTTTTCTTTATTTTTTCCCCCCGATCGATCGAGATTTACTCTTCAACGCTTTAAGGATAAATATTCCCTCGCACGTACGTACGTTAACGTAGCCAATTTACAAGGGATAAGTTCAACGTCATCCGTTGGGACGGAAAGGAAGCTGATGTTGCTAAAAAAAAAAAAAAGAAAAAAAGAAACGAACCATACAGATTGATTAATTAACGTTCGTATTTGTTGCAGTCGAACTCGAGAGTACGTTTCTTCGGTGGTCTTGGTGGTGGTTCCGATCTCCACAGAGATTTCCACAGTACACCGGATCTTAACATACAAGCACAGTCGTCGATCTTGGTTCCAAAGGGTCATAGAAGTCAAGAGGACGTTAATGCGGTGAATGGTAGAAATGGATTGCCACCGCCTAATCATCCCCCACCACCACCACCGGTTGGTCAGGTCGTTAAAGTAAACGTTGGGGCTAACGTACCCGACGTTGTTACACCGGCTTCCGTTTACGACAACATGGCGCATATCCAACAAGTCAAAGGTATTGATATTAAGATCGAATAATGATTTCAATCAAAATTGTCTCTACTGATCGTTCATCTCTTTCCTTTCATTTTATTTTTCTCTTTTCCTTTTTTTTTTTTTTTCTTTCCCTCTCTCTTTTTTTTTATACGTTTAGAATTAGCAGCAGCTACGGCGGATGGTGGTTACGGTGTAATGTCAAGTTTTCGACCGACGAACAGCGCAAAATTATACGCCTCGCCGGAAGACATGAAAACTGTTGGTTATCGGTCAAGAAGTTTACCAGCCCATACAACAAGATCACACGTTAGAAAATCTCATAGTCTTCGTGCACCTAACAATACGACATTCAAACCTACGTCGGTTGGCCAACAACAGAGTACCGGAAACGCTACGGGAAATAGTACTGGCAATGGGACATCTATCAATCTATCTAATACCAATAACAATCAATACGCACAACCATTGAAGACTAACAGGAGCCACAGTACGGCCGGTATTAGAGAAAGAAAGAAGAAAGTGATCGGTACGAGTTCCTCCGTGACAAATTTATCATCGCTAAGTAATACCAATGGCAATGCCAATGGTAACAATAACAATAACAATAATAATAATAATAATAATAATAATAATAATAATAATAATAATAACGGCTGCGGTGCAGGTGTTGGTCTTGGTGGTGGAGGTGGAGGTGGTGCTGGTGTTGTTGGTAATGGCAGTGGCCCGGTTGTACCGTCATCGGCACCACCAATACCAGAACCAGATTACAGTCTTTCGGAGTCCGAGAACGACGACGAAGCAGAAGAGGATACAGACGAGGAGGCCGAATCGGATATAGCTAAGGAATTAGAAAAGGCCGCGGCACGTGATAAATTGGAATCAACCCGTGAGACCTCAGGTAATTCGAATGCATCCGGTTCGAGTTCTTCAGGTTCGAGTTCGTTGCCTCATTCGTTTAGCGTCGAGGAAATACAAAAAGTAAGGACCCAATTGAAATCATCGAAAAGCCATCCCAACGATTTTCTATTGCAACAAACTCAACAGTCGTTGGCAGAGGACGGTGACAACAGTTCGAGCGGGGTAAGCTCCGATCAGGATGTACCAGTAGGTCCACCAATGGGTTTCGACGATACAACTAGCGTTAGGAATCATCCTAATGATATTAATCAACAACACGGCGGCGGTACATTGTTAACAATTGGTAACAACGATAAGGAATCTGGTAATTCGAAGCGTACCGGTTATGGGGGTAGTGGTATGTTAACCAGGCATGCCGTCAGTCTTGCACAATTACCACCACCCATTGAGGCAGATTCCGAGGATCAAAACAATGATCTATTTGTACCACCACCGCCGGAATTTAATGCTGGACCATCAGCTGCAGCTGCCGCTGCTGTTGCTGCTGCTGCCGCAGCAGCTGCTGCCGCCGCTGCCGCTGCCGCTGCCGCTGCTAATACTGTTAACACCTCTAACGTTGCCAACGTTGCGGACGAACTGGTCTTTGCTCCGCCCCCGCAATTCTCTGACAACAAACAACAACAACAGCAACAACAGACCCAACAGAATCGTGTCAAGATCATTGGGGCTATTCCAAAAGTCACTGGGAACCAAGTTAAAGCTTCGGCCGGACGATTACATAGTCAATGAATTAATCCGCATAATGTATAACACACGGACACACACATATACGCATACACACATACACACACACACACACACACAAACACACACGTGCGCGCGCGTGCGCATCAGACAGATAGATAGACAGACAGACAGTCTCTCTCTTTGTCGTTAAAATTTGCAATTATTGATATGAAGAGTCAATACTTAAATCGTAGTGGAATTTTTGATAAGCTCTCTGCGTGACGTTTTGAATGGATATATTTGTTTTTTTTTCCTTTTCCTTTTTGTTTCCTCTCTCCTTTTTTTTTGTTTTTTTTTTTTTTTTTTTTTTTTTTGAGAGGAAAAGATCACTCATTCCAAGCCAGTCTTCTCGCGTTCTAACACTTGCGCTGGTGGATTTTTTTTTCTTTTTTTTTCTTTTCTTGAAGAAAAAAAGAGAGAAAGAGAGAGAGAGAGAGAGAAAGGGAGAGAGTACTGGCCTAACGAAAAGAGACAGACATAACAAATTCTACTACAAATGCTCCTCCGAGGCAAATAAAATTTTTTAGAACGCATGAATAAAAAGAAAAGAAAAGAGAAGAAAAAAAGAAAAGGAGGAAGAAGAAGAAGAAGATAATAATGATAAACGAAATATAGGAATGAAAAAGGATAAGACGGGATAATCGAGGGAAGTCCTTGAAGACTTGAGAAACTCGAAGATAAAGAAGGAGAGAAAAAGATGAAGTTGAGGTGGGAAGGGGAGGGGGAGAGAGGAATGGAAATTAAAACCAAAAAAAAAAAATTAATAAATAAACAATTAAATAAATAAATAAATAAATAAATAAATAAATAAATAAATAAATAAATAAATTGTAAACGAGCTGAATGATTGGAGAATGAATGAATTTTTAGAAAGTCGTCGGTTTGTTTTTTCCATGTTTCTACCGATTATTATAGTATACATAAATAAATAGAAAGAAGAGAAATGACAGTGATAA